CACTTCTGGGAATATAACCTGGGGGCCCAAAAATACAAAACAGAAACACCATCTGCTCTCCTATGTTCATTGCAGCACTATCTACCATAGCCAGAATCTGGAAACAATCTGAGTGCCCAAGAATAGACGAATGGATAAAGAAACAATGACACATCTACAGAATGGAATACTATGCAGTTGTTAATAAGAACGAAGTCATGAAATTTTTCTATAAATGGATGGACATGGAGAGTAACATGCTGAGTGAAATGGGTTAGAAGGAGAGTGACAGATATAGAATAACTGCATTCATTTGTGGTATGTAAGATATATACATACACAAACACACATATATATGTATATATTTAGAAGAATAATATGCATGACCAAGGAAAACAGGGGTTAGAGGACTGGATAGTGGTCAGAACTTACCTCAAGTGTGTGGGGAACCGAGGGTAGGTAAAATAGAGAAGAAACCAGTATGACAATAATAGCTGGGAATGATAACTCTGGACAAGATCTGAGGGTTAAAAGTAGGTAAAGGGATATTTTTGATAACCATTTAGTATCAATATTGCAAACCACAATGCCCAAAAGGAGAGAGAGCACAGAGGCAGGCAGAGGTTGGGGGGGTGATAGGAGGGAACCTGGGAACAATGGTGCTTGAACATGTACACTTGTAGAGGGATGGGCATTGTAATATTGTATGACTCAAATCCAAACATGAACAGCTTTGTAAGGGTCTATCTCACAGTGATTCAATAAAAAAGTTAAAAAATTCAACCTAGGCTGATCTAATTCTAAAAATTTGATTCCATTTTTCTATGGCAGCATTTTCTTATAAAACTTTGCTCTAAAACGTGTTGCTCTTTTCTAGCAAGGCTCTAATTCAGAGAAGAAATGTAACATGAATAGAGTTATAAGGGTTTCTATTAAAGTACGTCATTGATATAGGAAGTGACTCTGACCTGAAAGGGAAATCTGACAGGGTCATTGAAGGAAAAAAGATAGTATAAGTGGTAGGAACAAAATTATTTTCCTAGCTAAGTGAGTGTGCTAGAGAAGAGTAAGTCAGAAGGGTAACAGCTTTTGGATCCTACAGCTTTTTACAAATCAGAGCTTGAGAAGATGACATCAGAAGTGTGCACAGGATGGGCATACAATAAAGATGTACTTGAGAAAGAATGAAAAAATAACTGAAATTTCAGCAACAGGAATACGCTTATGTTAGCTTATACCCCAAATCCTCATGGTTAACTGCCACAGGATAAAGGAAAGTTCTTCTAATATGATTTTCGTGAAAATTGAGCTTTTAACATGACTTTATGGTAATGTTTGACCCATCTCCTAATACTCTAAGGTCACAGGAAAGAGGCAAAAGGCAGGCCATCTGCCAGTTTTTCATGAGCCACAGTCATTACACATCACAGAAAAGTAATTACTACTAATAACTTATTTACTATATGTAGACTTTAATAATATTTTATAATTGCTAGTTTACTGTACATTAGTGATTAGATTTATTCTTGTTGCTAAGATATCATTTGAAGCCCAACATTCCTTGGAGATTTTGGGAAGTATGAATAAAACTGCTGGAGTGATAGCACAGTGGTAAGGCATTTGCCTTGCATGCAGCCAACCCAAACGATCTGGGTTCAATTCCTTCGCCCCTCTTAAAGAGCCCAGCAAGCTACCGAGAGTATCTTGCCCACACGGCAAAGCCTGGCTAGGTACCCGTGACGTATTAGATATACCAAACACAGTAACAAGTCTCACAGTAGAGACATTACTGGGCCCGCTCGAGCAAATCGATGAACGAGAGCACAGTGACAGTGACTAAAACAGCTCATCCAAAGAGTTTTGAAGATCCAAGGAATCATTCTCTTGAATCCTAAAGGATACTATCTATAAATTTTTAACTTATTTTTTTCATTATCTGGTAACACACCTGGATCTATGAATCTTGCACTGAGAATAAAAACTTGCACAATTTTTATAGATGAAAAAAATCACAGAAGATGTCATGGTCCTCCTGTTGTTCATCGATTTGCTTGAGCGGGCCCAGTAAGGTCTCCATCATGAGACTTGTTGTTACTGTGTTTGGCATATCAAGTACGTCACGGGTAGCTTGCCAGGCTCTGCCCTGCAGGCGAGATACTCTCGGTAGCTTGCCAGGCTCTCCAAGAGGGTTGGAGGAATTGAACTCAGGTCGGCCATGTTGGCCGCTAGTAAGGCAAATGCCCTACCGCTGTGCTATTGCTCCAACCACAGCACAGAAGATGAAATCATTAAAATATGTGATTAGCTGATATATACACATAAAATTATATATGAGTATAAATAAACCTACGTGTGTAAAGTTACAATAATGAGCTAGGTGGCAAAAATACTCAATTCATAAAATACATATGAAAGAATTATAAATGGGAATAGAATTTTTGTTCATGGGATAGAAAAAGAATAAATTATAAATCTTGATTCAGGGTCATAGCTGTATAGCTTTTATGCTAATGCAATAGAACATCAGAGCATAGTCAACAATAGAAATTCAGAAAAAAGCTTGGGTATTAGGCAGTATATCACAGAAATAAAAAATGTATGTAGGAAGTGGAAAAAACTTTCAGTTAGATAATGTCTTCATTAATAATATCTTCAGGGAGGAAGGGAGGGAAACAAAACTTTAAAGAAACAAAGAAACATTAGGGAAAAAACAAGGACTAAAAAAATAATATCTTCATGACATCCATAAGAAACTAGAGAAGTCTAGACAGAAAATGAGGAAGAAATTAACAAAGATAGGATACAACTCATATTTATAATATATGGGATCACACATAATCCTATCTCCGCTTTAGAATCCACTGGGAATTATTTTATGGTATTAATGATGAGGACCAAATAGATGGATACTTTTCTAGAAATATATTAGATTATACAAAAGACACCAAGTTGTTATTATTTAAAAATAACTATAGGGGCTGGAGAAATAACACAGTGGGTAGGGTGTTTGCCTTGCACGCGGCCGACCTGGGTTGGATTCCCAGCATCCCTTATGGTCCCCGGAGCACCACCATGAGTGCATGAGCCAGGACTAACCCCTGTGCAACGCCGATGTGACTCCAAAAATAAAATTAAATAAAATAAAAATCACTATATATATATATATATATATATATATATATATATATATATGCACATATGCTGTGGACTGGTAGACATTCAGTGGCATCCAGGGTCTATTTTGCTCCTTGCGGTCAGCTGCATGCAAGGCAATTTTCAACCCCTATACTGTCTCTCCAGCTACTCTAACTCACTGTTTAAACAGAGAAACAATTTGATATGAACCTGCAGAAGTAGACAGCAGAATTTCAAACCTAATTTTAGAGGGATGGGAAACTACTTAATGGCTTTAAAAGTAGAAGACTGATGTGATTAGTTCTTTTTGAAAATTATGCAGACTTGTTCTAGGCATGTATGGAGGTGCATGGAATACGCTGTATTCATGTATGGAGGGGTTGTTAAAAGAGAAGATAAGAACACAAATACAGAGACTACTGCATCTATGGATACAAATTATGAAAATGGAAAAGCAAAGTCTGTTGGAGATAGCATATTTGAGATATGTCTTGCAAGCCTAATCCACAATACAGATGACAGACTGGTTAAGGGAGAGGGCAAGTTGAGGTATGGCTTCCTGATAGATCATCTAACTAATTGTATAGACATGGGAAATTTTTAATCAGAATAGAATGACGAGGTTCTTAGGTTAATTTAGGTAAAGATTGGGGTCTAATTCTAATGTTTATGATTAACCTGGGCTGGAGCGATAGCACAGCAGTAGGGCGTTTGCCTTGCACGCAGCCAACATGGCCGACCTGAGTTCGATTCCTCCTCCCCTCTCAGAGAGCCTGGCAAGCTACCGCCCGCACGGCAGAGCCTGGCAAGCTACCCGTGAGGTATTCGATATGCCAAAAACAGTAACAACAAAAATCTCCAGTGGAGACGTTACTGGGCCAGCTCGAGCAAATTGATGAACAACGGGAGGACAGTGACAGTGATGATTAACCTAAGTGAAAAATATGAAAGATGCAATTCCATATAGTGGTATGAAGTTCAGAACAAAGAACTTATATGGAGTATAATTTTGAAAGTCATCAGACAGAAAAAATATTTATCTGCCTAAAGCAGGAGGTCTCTCAGTAAGGGACAGAGGGGAGAAAGGACAGAACTCAGAAAATCTAATCACTGTTGATAAAGGAGAGGAAGAAACACACAAAAATACAGATAAAGTATAAAATGTATTGCTTTTTGAAAAGTATTATTATTTTCCTTTATAATACTGGAGTGTCCCAAATTATTTTTAATGCGGAAGGTTTTTTACAGAAAAATTAAATATGGCCAATATTCCTCTCATCTATTATTACTGAGAAGAAAAGTTCTACGGAGACACAATAAATTATTCAGAAGAACCTGAAATTTCATTATATCAATATACACACACATATATATCTTAAACAACCAATAAAAGATCAGATAACAGTTAAATGGGGCTGGAGCGACAGCACAGTGGGTAGGGCGTTCGCCTTACAAGCGGCCAACATGGCTGACCTGAGTTCGATTCCTCCGCCCCTCTCGGAGAGCCCAGCAAGCTACCGAGAGTATTCGATATGCCAGACACAGTAACAACAAAGTCTCCAATGGAGACGTTGCTGGGCCCGCTCGAGCAAATTGATGATCAACGGGAGGGCCTTTACCTTTAAATGTTCTTAAAAAATATATATATTAAATGAGTAATTCAAGTTGTGGAGAATTCATGAAGCAATGTAAACCTTGTGTTAGACACCTTTGCTTTTTATTTCATCCTACCAAAACTAGATTTTTGTGCTTTAGAGTAAATATTCACTTAGCATCATTGATAGATTCGAAGAAACTGAGAAGTGTTGTTAAGTCACTTTAACAAGGCCAAATTTGCTAAGGGCTAATTGATATAAAAGATCCAGTTTCCTATAGCATAGTTCTAACCACAAAAGCAGGAACAAACTCCTAAATAAAGACCATAGATATTGCTAATATTAAACTGTAATGTATATTTTTCAATTAGCAATAATCGCGCCTCAGATAAACCTCATTGGCTACGATACTGCCACACGCAGACGACTGGGGTTTGATTCCTTTGCCCCTCGTGGAAAGCCCGGCAAGCTACCGAGAGTATCCTGCCCACATGGCAAAGCCTGGCAAGCTACCGATGATGTATTCAATATGCCAAAAACAGTAACAACAAGTCTCACAATTTGTTGTGAAAAGTTACTTGTGCCCGCTTGAACTATAAATTGGTGTAGTCCTGATGATCTATCACATCTTCTAGAAGGGCAATGGAGAAGATCATCCATGACCTTTACTCAGATCTCTTTGATAGCCACGTCCACCTGCCCACATACCAAATTCTGCAGGATGAATATGTCGTTCCCAGCATTCTCCCTTCCAAAATCTGACATGCCATTTTGTCAGTAAAAGAACGGACAGCACCTGGCCCAAACAAGGTCAGACCAGACCCGATCATTCAGGGTCTTGATGAAGAAGTCTGACCATCTTGTAGGTGGGCGGCCACGCGTTCTTTTGACATCCCATGGAATCCAGAAGAACCTGCCCTCAGTACTCATCAATACACTGGCTCTGCTCTTCACAGGCTACCTGTCTGAATGCAAGGTTCCATCCCAATGGAAAACCAGCAGGACTGTACTACTGTATAAGAAAGGAGACATCCACTACATTGACAACTATTGCCAAATCTTCCTATTGTCTGTCATCTACAAATTGTTCACTTGAGTCATCCTGAATAAGATTGGCAGAACACTAGATGAAGGACAACCATGCAAGCAAGCCGGGTTCCGAAAAGGATTCAGCACCATCAACCTTTTCCACACAGTAACCAAGCTCATTGAGATTTCTCAGGAGTTTGAGATGCTGCTCTGTCTAACGTTCATTGATTTAAAGAAGACTTTTGATTCTGTTGAGATGGAAGCGGTCATTGAAGCCCTAGCCAATCAGGGCATTAAAACTCAATACATCAGGATCCTCTGTAGGCTGTATTACAGATTCACTACCAGGATCTCATCATTCTACAAAGAAGTGATCATTGATGTCAAGAGAGGGGTTTGGAAGGGTGATACCATTTCACGGAAACTCTTCAGGGCCACCCTTGAGAATGCCATGCGATGACTGAAATGGAAAGGAATGGGAGTGAAGATAGATGGTCGGCGACACCACCTCCCCTTTGCTGATGACATCGTTCTAATAACACCAAACATTAGCCAAGCGGCACAAATGCTGACTGACTTTGACGGTGAGTGTGGAAAGGTCAGACTCCAGCTGAATCTCACAAAGACAATGTTTATGAGAAACAGTCTTATTCCTGACGTTCCATTCGCTCTCAATGGAATGAACATCTCTGAATGCAACAGTTATGTGTACCTAGGTCGAGAAGTCAACATGATGAATGATCTGGCACCTGAGTTGCGCAGGAGGAAGAGAGCAGCTTGAAACACCTTCAAGAGCATCAAGGAAATAGCTAAGAGGACAAAGAAACTCCAGCTCTGGGTACATCTCTTGGATTCTACTGTTCTTCCTGCATTAACATATGCCTCAGAGACCTGGGCCCTACGCAAATAGGATGAGAACGCTATTTGGGTTTCCCAAAGAGGAATCAAAAGAGCTATGCTTGGAGTATCATGTTTCACTCAAATAAGAGAAAGAATCGGGAGTTCCGACCTCTGTCAATGGTCAAGAATCAGGGACGCTACTTCGTTTGCCAAAGCATCGAAAATCAGATGGGCTGGACACATAATGAGATTTGGGGACAACCACTGGACTAGAGCCGTTCCTGACTGGATTCCATGGGATGTCAAAAGAACGCATGGCCGCCCACCTACAAGATGGTCAGACTTCTTTATCAAGACCCTGAACGATCGGTTTGAGGCTTTTCATGTTCTAGAATGAACAGACGCCATTGTGCTACACTAGCACGTGACAGGGACAAATGGAGACGTTACTGGCGCCCGCTTGAGCAAATCGATGATTAACGGGAAGTCAAGTGATTAAGTGATTTTTAATTAGAAAATCATCTAAGCTAAAGAGTGAAGTCCTATGTACAACCAAATCTGTCTTTCAACCTTAATTGTTGGGTCATTTGCTCTGTATATTTATTCTTCTGCTAATACTTTCTACTGGTAAATTATAAGAACTTCCCTCTAATACTAAACCTGTTATGATTCTTGGTAACTTTTTTTTTCTTAGTGAAGTCAGATGGATTTTATTAAACAAAACTTAGAAAGATGTGAAGGGAGGGGAAGAGCAGAAATACACATTCAGTAGAAAGCAAGGCCTTCTCCAGAGTGGACAAGGCAAGCAGAGAAACAGAGAGGCAGGCAGGTCAGATACGTGTGAAAGGGCACACACGAGCTTGAAGAGCAAGAGGCAACTTTATCCCCCTTTTTTAAAATTTATTTTTCTTCTCTATCTCTTTGTATTTTTGTTGTTGTTGTTAATTGATTTAATTTTAAAATGAATCTCGCCCGCACAGCAAAGCCTGGCAAGCTACCCGTGACGTATTCAATATGCCAAACACAGTAACAACAAGTCTCACAATAGAGACATTATTGGGCCCACCCAAACAAATCAATGAACAACGGGAGAACAGTAACAGTGACAGGTAAGTTTCAGAGTTCTGTTAAAGGAGGGTTAAACTTTAATATATTTATGAGGTCAGGGTTCATTTTTTACTTATCATCATTTTACTTGTTTTTTCATTGATTAATTGCTGCTCATATTTACTGTTAGAGGCATTATCAAAGGCATTAGATTTTCTAGTCATTAGCAAAATAAACAACATAATAAACAGTTGTAAAGTTATGAATGGAAAAAAGCTGATAATTTTCTAATTTTGATAGTTTCATTTATTTAAAAAAATTAAATAAGTAAAGTTAACAAAACTCAATTGACAATCTGTCGAATGTATATAAATATCCTTGAAGTTGAAGAACTTTGTTGTTGTGCAGATATATGACTTTTGCTTTTTAATTTAATTTTTTGACATTTTGTTCTGCATCACACTGGCAGTGCTCAGGAGCTTGCTACTGTGGTGCTCAGAGGACTATGCCAGGTATCAAACCTGAGGCTCCAGCCTGCAAAGCAGGTGCTCTAGTCAGGTGAGCTATCTCCACAGCCCCAGCTTTTTGCTCGAGGTAAAGGTAAAGGCCCTCCCGTTGTTCATCGATTTGCTCGAGCGGGCCCAGTAACGTCTCCATTGGAGATTTTGTTGTTACTGTGTTTGGCATATCGAATACATCACGGGTGGCTTGCCAGGCTCTGCTGTGTGGGCGAAATACTCTCCGTAGCTTGCCGGGCTCTCCGAGAGTGGCAGAGGAATCGAACTCGGGTCGGCCATGTTGGCTGCATGCAAGGCAAACGCCCTACTGCTGTGCTATCGCTCCAGCCAGCCCCAGCTTTTTAATTTGCTTTTTTTTTTTTTTTTTGAATATATTTTCTCTAGGTTGCAAATTGTAGGCTGGCAGCTTTTTCCCTTTAGTTTTTAAGAGGTCATTTTTATATTCTCTGAATTCATTTTTTATTATAAAAACATTTTCAAGTATTTATTGTATTCCTTTTGAAGGCAATATATCCTTTCTTTCTTTAAGCGCTTTATTTTTTTAAAAATCATTCATTCTCGGTAGCTTGCGGGGCTCTCCAAGAGGGGCAGAGGAACCGAAATCGGGTCGGCTGGGGCTACTGCATGCAAGGCAAACGCCCTATCGCTGTTGGGGCTGGAGCGATAGCACAGCAGTAGAGCGTTTGCCTTACAAGCAGCCAAAATGGTCAACCCGAGTTCGATTCTCCACCCCTCTCGGAGAGCCCGGCAAGTTACTGAGAGTATCTTGCCTGCACAGCAGAGCCTGGCAAGCTACCTGTGATGTAGCTTGTCTCAGTAACAAGTCTCATGATGGAGACGTTACTGGGCCTGCTCAAGCATAATCGATGAACAACGGGAGGACCGTGACCATTCATTCTCAACAGTTTGTCTATCTTGTGCCTACATTTGATTTTCTTTGTATTTACCTGGTTGGATTTCTCTAAGATTCTTGAATAATATACATTTATTATAGGACATTTTCTCTTTAAATAATGCTTTTGTCTTTTTCAAATTCTCTCCTTCTAAAATCAAAGCAATGTACATTATTATTATTATTATTAACAAAGCATTGTCCTTCTGTTATTCATCGATTTGCTTGAGTGGGCCCAGTAACATCTCCATTTTGAGACTTGTTGTTACTATGTTTGGCATATCGAATACGTCAATGGGAGCTTGCCAGGCTTTGCCATGCGGGCAAGATACTCTCGGTAGCTTGCTGGGCTCTCCGAGAGGGGCGGGGGAATCAAACCCGGCTCGGCCGGGCTGGCTGCGCTCCAGCCCTATTATTATTATTATTATTATTATTATTATTATTTGCTTTTTTTGGGGTCACACCCAGCAATGCTAAGGGGCTACTCCTGCTTTGCACTCAAGAATTACTCCTGGAGGTGCTCGGGGGACCATGTGGAATGCTGGGGATTGAAACTTGGTCAGCAGCATGCAAAGCAAACACCCTCCCCACGGTGCTATTACTCCGGCCCTGCACATGTACTTTAGAATATTTTACTGTCCTATGTATGTGTCTCTTACAATCTGTTCCATTTTTCATTTTTTCTTTCCAAACTTGGGTTTAAATATTTTTTAAATAATCTTTTCATTTAATAAAAAAACCATGATTTACAAATTTATTTATAATTGGGTTTAGATGTACCAATTTTGACATCAATTCTACCACCAGTGTCAACTTTCCTCCACAAGAGTTCCCCTGCATTCTCGTATCCTCCTCCCCCACCTGCCTCCTTGACAGACACATTTCAAAGTTCTGTGTTTGTAATTTAAGTATCATATTTTCAGTGTTGTTGAGACTGTACTTTGGATATATAGTTATACCACTCTCCCATGTCCTTAGTATAACCAAGGCTCTTGACCCCTGTTTCTGCATTACTTCCCTTTCTCTTCTTCTCTTCCCACACCCACCTCTTGGTTTCTTTCCTTCTCTTTCTACTCCTGATACAGCTCCCCGTGACATATTTG